AAAAACAATAATATGAAATGCTGTGTGAAAATGATGATGGGAACATATCTTTGTTACTTGAGAGAGAGTTTTAAGTACCTAGACAAAGGAAAATGGGTAAGTGCAATAGCAATGAAGATATGACTAGACTCAAGGGGAAAAACTTACATACAACGTTTGCTAGGCTGCCGTAGTTGTACTTGGTACCATGCACGGCCTCCAGGGCCCTGACGCTCACCCCGGCCACCCGGTACTGGTTGACAAAAACAATATCATTACTCATCGTGATATAATACATGTGTAATTATTGCTTTACCAATGAATTAGTTCCGTCTATGCAATATACTGGCACTAGCAAGTCGATAGAATCTACGTATCATTGGTAGTCGTGTACTCAGACTTTTAAGTGCTTTTTTTAAGTTGTTTAATATGATCGATAGATATTGAGGTTCCTATTAACGGTTCCTACTCATTCGTTTTCTCCAAAACACCATAACTTTGTGATGGTCCTCACCTGTTCGTCATAATTGGCAGGCAGCTGCTCGGTGTAACCATATGAAGTCAACCAAAGCTGAGCGTAAGAATGAAGACTAAAGTACATTCTCACGTCTGGCAGAGCTTCAATGGAGCCTCGCACAGCCTGTGATTCTCTCTCAGAGAACGCAGACTCTCCTGTGAAGGATTATAATTGTAGCTACAACTCAACATTCGCCTCCCGAAGGAAGAGAGTGAAATTCTGTTGTGCAAATGATATTTGCACAACAGAATTGTGATGATATTTATTATCTTGTTCCGAAATTAGCATAGAACCTCAATCTGTCCTTGCTAACCTAAATAAGAATTTGCCCGACTCTGTCACTGTTTTCCTCTGTGGATTACGTGTGTGGAGGGAAGAATGTTCATGTTATCAGAAATGCGATTTACTTTTATCTACAGCGTGGTAAGAAAAAAGATCTTGTATATTATAGTAAACTATCCTATGTATATGAAGCACGTAACAAAGATGGTAGTAGCGATAACTTGAGTAAATAACTAACCACTGTAATAGTCAGAACATGGGTTGTTAGAACTCCCGGCTCCACCAAAGTCTGAGTCGAAGTTACGGTTGCAGTCGACGCCATGACACAGAATGTTGGGTACTCGGTTCTTGCGCCATAGACGGTCCTGACAAATGTACAGTTTGTTATTTTGTGTTCGACTCATATTACAATTTGTAAGAAAAATATTGGCTATCTTTTTCAAGGAGTTTCATTTATTTTTTTTATTTTGCCTACTAATATCTGTTCAAGGTGAGAGATATTACATAACTAAAAATTTCAGAAAACAAACTTCGTGATATGAATAATATTTAAAAATATTACAACGGAGAAACAACTTTTGGAGTAAGGATAAACGGAATACTTTCAAGATTATTCGATAATTCTCTGTTACCACTGTGACTGTTAGAGGTAACCCAAATAACTCCAGTTCCAGCACCTCAGGAAACCTCTGCCTCAGTCACCAAGGGAGAGGTAACCCCAATAATTTCTACCCTATCGACCGAGAGACAAGTAATACCGATAAATTTTGCCCCAGCGACCAAGAGAGACCACGCCAATTACTTCTGCCGCAGTGACCTAAAAATGTAGCCTCAATAGGTTCTGTCCCAGAGGCCGAAAGAGTTATTATCAATAAATATTGCTGCATCGACCTAGAGAGGTAAGTCCGATAACTCTTTCCCAATGACTGAGAAGGGTGACTTCAAATATTTTGCTCCGGTGACAGAGAGAGCTAGCCCCGATAACTTCTGCCTCTAGAACCTAGAGAGGTAACTCTGAGAATCTTTGCTAAAGTGGCACAGATTCTTTCCTAAGCAACATGAAGATTCATACTTCATTAACCAAGAGAAGTAACCACAATAACCTTGCCTCCAGCGACCATGAGAGGTAACCCTAATAAATTCTGCTTAAGTAACCAAAAAGTTAACCTTGATTACTACTGCCCCAACGATTGAGAGAGAAAACTTCAATAACTTAGGACCCCAATAATCCTTCCTTCCTATCGTGATGTTCTGTAATACAGTGAAAAAATGTATATATTTTTTTTTTCAAAAATTATCTGAATGTAAAATAACTTAGTTCGGACTCTTACAAAACTATTAACCAATTGTAAAGATATATGATTTATTTTTTGGTTACTGCCATAAGAAACCTGTTCACTTCACCTCAATAGTACTTGAATCTTTAAAATAAAATAAATATATTTCTACCGTAATTCAAAGGCGGAAAAGATTTGTAGCTTCTGAAGACATTTCTTGACCGAACAATGCTTCGGTGACAGTTCAATCACCATCATTTGGAATTATTTCTGGAACTTAACAATACAAGAAATACAATAAATAATAAATTATCCAATATATGACATATTATTTACAATATTTTGTACAAAATTAAGTAAACTGTTCTACTGCAATGTGTTGTTCTGATGACTGATATACAATAAGCCGGTTACTATCTGAGGAGAGTTATATAAATGTGCAAAGCTTACCAAGTCATGATAAATACAATAAAGCAGTAATAAAATTTTAGAAATGTTGAAAATTTAAGAGACTAGTCATGTCGTTCATTAATCCATTACATAGAATAATAGTTTAAAAAAATGGTTTAGAAAACCGACAAGATGATAAATGAGATATTGGTGCAACACTTGGAAATCTTTATTCTGGAAACGTTTCGCCAACCAGTGGTTTCTTAAATCCAGTGCAGAGAAACTGAGGAAGGTGAGAAGGAGATGAGATAATTAAGATTAATTATTTGTCCAATGTATTATTAAATTCTTCCCAAATTTTATTAATTGTAAATGGACCTAATTTATGTAAACCAAAGAAAATATTCATATTATTTCCAAAGGAAATGTTCATGTTATTTTCAAATAATATGAATATTTCCTTTGGTTTATATAAATTAATACATTTATAATTAATAAAATTTGGGAAGAATTTAATAATACATTGGACAAATAATAAATCTTAATTTTTGGGTAGAGTACTAGGGTAGGACAAATATTTTGTGAGTGGGATGTCGTAAAGGACCTGTCTAGTTGGACCAGTGGGCGTACTGCAGTGTTCCTCCTTATGAATCGGGTGTCGTCGCGTGTCAGGTGTTACTTTGTTGTGGGATGTGATGGTGAGATGTGGTCGAGACCCTTTCTATGCCTTCCTTTGATGTACTATCTTGATAGTTCCTTGATAATGTGAGAAGTCACGAAAACGCTTGAGATTTCACTATCCTTTCACAGTGTGGTTTGTTTTCATATATATATTATATATATATATATATATATATAATATATAATTATATATATATTATAAATTATATTAATATATATATAATATAATATTAAATATTTTATAATATATAGTATCAATATTATATATTAATATGATATTAAATATTATTTTTTATCAAACATAGGCCGATTCCCACCAAGGCAGGTGTCACCGAAAAAGAAAAACTTTCACCATCATTCACTCCATCACTGTCTTGCCAAAGGTGCTTTACACTACAGTTTTCTAAACTGCAACATTTTATATAATATATTAAATTATATATTATAATATATAATATATATATAATATATATATAATATAAATATATTAATAATACTCAATAAGATCACAGAAACAGGTGATATCATAATATACAGAATGCGTTGAAAAATAATGAACGTTCCAAATGCTTTCGTGATTTCTCACCCTCATCGAGGAACTGTTAAAATGTAAACAGCATAATGGCAAAAGACGGAGTTACACCTCGCTGTCAACTTACAACACCAAGACTCTTTATGATAAGTAGTAGGTGGAAATGAACTGTCAAATATAATATATTCATCCAAAAACCTCAAGATTTTAACTTGTCGATAATCTAAAATTTCTCCCTGATTGGCCTTAATTATAATGAATCCTATTTGTGTAATCCTAAAACAATAGTCATATTAATTTCAAAACTATTTTTAATGAAACTCGATTCTGTTACATTTCTCCCAACTGTGAACCTGCTTGATAAAACTTTCTTGGCCTTTTAAAAATCAATTGGATGGTTAAAATCTCTCACATGAATAAACAGAGAATTAGACTCTAGTCCACTTAGTTCAAGACTTCACCCCGTTTGGCCGAAATAAACCTTATCACAGATTTTGCAGGGAATCTTGAAGATACAGTCGTCAGCAGTTTTTGGAGAATGAGAATACAAAAAGTTTAAGTCCTTCATGATATGAAAAATAACATTAAACATTACAGCAGTTATTTGTTGCTTTTCTGTAAATTTTAAAAATAAAATTATGGTTCCCCCGTAATAATTAAAACATCTAGAAAACAGGATAATTTATTTTAATCAAACTCAACACAACAGTAAAATTTATGTAATGAGCTAGACTATTTAATTTAACAAGGAAATACTTTATATCTATATTCTTAAGTAATAGACATAAAACATCATTAATATATCTGTACTAGTTATCTCTGTTCAGAAGGATTTTGTTAAGGAATATTGTTGCAAAATATTCCACTTACAAATTACTAAGGACAGGTGAGAGAGGCATTCCCATAGCAATACCAAATTTCTGAGTGCAAAACTCGCGATTAAACACAATCTTAGCGTCAGCAATACAGAGTTTAATAAGCTCTATAATAGTAGGTACTAGCAAAGTAAATCATAATTAACAACTTCTTCAGATGGGAAACTTAAATCATCAACTGAAACTTTTGTAAACAAAGAATTAACATCAAAGCTAACTATTTTGTAATCATTTATATCAGCTTAATATATCCACTAAATCTTATATTATTTTAACATTAAAATTATATTTTTTTCTAAAACTTGGCCTCAACACATCTACAAGCCACATAAATAATTTATAGAAAATTGAACCTAGAGCTAACAATAGGTCTGGTTGGATTACCTTGCTTGTTTTTATTAATCAATACATATATGGTAAAGATGGATTGTTGGTTATAATTTTTTAATTAATTCATCTTTGCCTTTCAGTAAGTTTTATTGTTTTATTAAAATTACTGTTAACAGAATCTACAGGATTCTTTTAATTCTGGAATAAGTATCTGTATAATTTAATCAATTTCTTTCAAAATTACTACTGCATTTATTTTTATCTGCTTTAGTAACATACAAATTTTATTACGAATAAGATTTTCATTATGAATTAAAAATATCTCTGAGGGCAACTGTGAATATTTTGTTTTATTATTGAACTATAAACCATGGCCTTGCTTATATTAATTTCGTAACCGGATAATTCAAAGGATTTTTCTATGTTACAAAAGGCTTTTGCTATTTCCACATAAATGAGTTTTTTAGAATCTGCAAAACTTAGACCGAAACCTAAAGCAGCCATGTAATTTTTATCTGATATTTCATTTGACAAGTTAATTACAATTTTTTTTATTAAAATGTTGTGTCCAATCACTGTTTTCAATTAGATCGTTTAATTTTCTTTTTGGTTTATTTTGAGTTCATTACAAACTCTTCTGAATTTAATATAGCAATGACCTAACATGCTGTTTCAATTCTGATGGAACAACCTGATTAAAAAAGTATTTTTTGTTTCTCAATATTTTGAATGTCTCCATTGCCAGCACCTACTATCATTGAACTTATTAAATTCTGTATTGGTGATGCTAATTTAGTATTTACTGGTGAGTTGTATACTCAAAAGTTTGGTATGGCAATGTGAAATCCACTCGCACTTGTCCTCAGTAATTTGTACATGGAATAGAGATAAGTGATACAAATGTGTTAATGTGTTCATGATATTATATGTCTAATGCCTAATAATGTACACGTAAACCATTTCCTTGTTAAATTAAACAGTCTTGGACATTCCATAAATTTTACTGCAGAGTTGAAACAAAATAATTCATTTCCTCTTCAAGATCTTTTAATTATTAAAAGGAATCATGATTTTAAATTTTAAATTTACGGAAACCCACTAATAACTGTTCTTATGTGCACTGTTATTCTTCACATCATGACAGAATTAAACATTCTGTTTTCTCATGGATGTTTTTGAGTTCTTTGAGTGTTTACAGCCGAGAGTTCATTGACAAAGAAATCTTGAAGCTTTATGAAATAGCTTGATCTAAAATTCCCAAAACATTTAAATAATAAATGTTTTGAAATTGCTAGAAATACTTTTTACAAGTCAAAGAAACGACAACTAGCCTTGTT